TGTTGCTAGGGTGTGAATAATCTTTCCGAAGCATTAGAATAATTTGCTTAAATTAAGAACCTTCCAGTAGTCATTGGTAAATCTCAAAGCTTATAACGCTAATATCCGGGTTTCGACACCCATGATAGACACGACAGACATAGTCCATTGTATAGCTTGCTTTACAATAAATACAGACAATTCTTAGAGCATATAAAATATACCACCCGACAACGCTTGAACATGAAATTAAAAAATATCTTTTCTATTTTCAAAGAACTGCAATTTCCACAACGTTTGATTACAAACTGCCATCTTCAAGCAAGAAAAACCTTGTTCCATGAAGATAAAGAAAGATCAACCAATGTTAATTTGAAACCACTTTATATTGGCTACAGCACTAACATTGAACCCTTAAGAAACGATTAAGGAAAAATAACTTTAGAATCATATACAAATATCCGAAAACCATTAAAAATAACCTAACTTCAAAAGAAAAATACCTGAATATAAGAAAAAAGGCGTTTATATTACACCATGCCAATTCTGTGAGAAAGGTTATATAGGTGAAACCCGAAGAAGTGTTGACACGAGAGTTTCTGAACATGAAACATGGAAACCAAAACGATGCCGTTTTTCTTCATATGAGAGATTATGTCCATCAAATTCAATGGAAATCAACCAGAATTTTATACAAAACAGATAACTACATAAACAGAATAATCGTCGAAAGCTGCTTAATCAAAAGCCTGCTTAATTTCAACACCTCCCAAGGTCACTTAACAACTCCCTGACCTACTGACACAACAGAAAACTAAAAGTAAAGAGTTAATAACTGTAAACAGGTTTTATATTACACTGTAGTTTACTTAACATAACGACGTGGTATAAGACCTGAGTTTGTTTCTAACCTTTTTTAAAGAGTTCCAAATAACTGAAAATAAAATTGACTTTAAACATCTTTATGATATTTCTAAACACTTGTTACTACACAGTTACATCTCCCGATATAAGTGTTATCCTAAGAGTTTCAAAAAGATTTCTAAAACTACCTGTATGTTTTATCGTACAGGAATGAAAAAAATTTATATATGTTATAAAAGCTATCTCATATATTAATTATACGTGTCTAGTGTTTAATGTGACGAACTGTACACCTGAGGGTACATGGTTCGCATCCCGTTGTCGAAAAAATGTGTTCCGCACTTTCGGGCAGTAGATGCGTTATAAGAGTGATGGTCAGATACCACTATTCCATTAGAGTAGCCCAAGAGTTAGCGATGGATACTGTTGACGATCTGCCTTCCCTCTAGTCTGTCGCTGTAAAGTTAGCGACGGCTAGCACAGATTGCCTTTGCGTAGTTTTGTAAGATTATCCGAAACAAATAAATTCTAACCGTTTTACAAAGACAAAAAAAGAGCTTCTCGCTACATGACAGATTGAAGGAGATTGCAAAGTCATGTTTGATTTAAGAGAACAGTTTACATACTTCTCTAACTACCTGTTATCCTCATAGAAAGATTAAAAATGTCTAATTATTCATATTTGATATTACCTAAACGAATGTAGAGAAAATTAATAAGGCTTCATCTTGCATTTTTATAACAATAACTTAAAGAAACGTAGGCAACTGTTGATTTTTTATTTTATTCAATATTTATATTTTATCACGTAGCTACACAGTGAGCTATTTGTGCTCTGTCCTCCGCGAGGTCTCGAACCATCGGATTTTAGCATTGTTAGTCTCTAGATTTATTGCTGACCCTCCGAGGGACGTATGCAAACCTCTTTACGCATTTGTTATCCCTAATTGAATTTAGAAAAGTTTAAAAGGATATTACTATACATCTCATTTATTTAATTCCTCTATTTGTTGTATATTGCTATCAACACCGTGATATGTGTTTTGTTTTTTACTTTTAATTAGATCATCTGAAAAGATATATCTTTTATGGTAACCTAAAGTAAAGGATAAAGAAATCACGATAAGAAAACTGTTTGGTGATTCAGAATAATGAGGCAAAAAGTATCATTAGTTTATGTATTTTGTAATCACAACCGTACATACTTATGCATAAAATATTAGGTATATCACATTTTCATATAATATCTCCATTAGAAACTGAAAGTTATTTGCGTGCCTTAAATAGTCTGGCCTGAATGTGTCCTGAAAATGACTTAAATTACTTATTCTACAACGAAAACGAAAACTCTCATGACTTATGATGGACAATGTTAAGATTCCTTAGTTTTCATTTATAGTGTATAAAGTATATGTTAGCATTTTGTTGTTGTTTTCAGCAATTTCAGAAGACAATTTTTATTGACTTGTTACTCTACTTTTTTTTAAAGGCCCATTTATTGACATTTAAAAAAAAAATAACGTAGATTGAAGACATTCTACAAGCTATAACAAAGGAGTCAAGCTTGAGCGGTAAATCAAAACACAAAACTGAATTTCGATTTGTTACGTGAAAATTTATTCTACTCATAATATATAATAAACAGGCAGTTACTTTTCATATAAGGGTTGTAGTACACTTCATTGTAACAAGTGGTGTGAGTTTCATATCCTTCGCTTGTCCCCTGGTGAGCCAGCGGTAACATTATGGACTTAAAACGATTAAAATCCGAGGTTCAATTACCCGTTGTAAACAGAGTGCGCATAACCCACTGTATAGTTCTGCACTGAGAAAACAACACCAGTCTTCAACTCATAATACCAACGATGTTTTTCTTCTTTATAAACAGCATTAAATTTTAGTGTAAACAGAAAGTTGCAATGAAATATAAACATATCAAATAACATTGTCCTTGACCATTTAAAAATCACTTCTGATTTGAATTTAGTCATAGAACTAACATGCTGATGAATAAATTACATATTTTAAAATTATATTTACATCTAATTGCTTTATTATTCTTATGCATCACAAATGGATCACAGAAAAACTTAAATCTTACACCCATGTGTCACGTGTGAGGGAATACAACATGTTATGTAAATTTATTTGTCATATATTTTAAAGATTATTTATATAAATTATGAATATTATACTTTTCTTTTTCACGAAAATAGTTAACAAAATCCATTTAATCCACTGAAAGCAAAGTATAATGTATAGAAATATTTTTTTTTTTAGAATTGATTGAGCAAAAAGAATATATAGATTTTGTACATTATAAAAAACAGTTGTTAGAACAAATTTGGAACATCAGTTCTAGGACCACAAGACTTTCTTCGTGATTTTGTGAAACCTCTTTTTTTACCCTCGAAATCTTGTTTTCGGATTTAATACAAATATAAAGATGAGTGTGTGAGAGAGAGGTTCTGTTATTTTAATGTTTGTTTCTTGTTAAGCACAAACTACACAACGGCCTAGCTGTGTTGTACCCATCATCGGTATCGAAACCTGTTTTAGCATTATAAGTTTTCAGAGTTACTGCTGAGCCATTGGGAGAGGGGGGGGGGCGATCTAGTAAATTGCGAAATCTATATCAGTAACATTATATAGCTGAAGTTTAGAAATTTTATATTAATGCTACAATGAATATAAACATGTTTACAGCAAAACAGATAAACGTTTTATACCGCATGAATAATTACACAGTTCCGAAACACTGTCAGGTCATTAGGCACATCCACGTTTCATGTCTGTTGGAAGACTTATTTAAGGTGCATTTTGCGCGTGTTATCCTTCCTTGATAGATACAATTTCCATTTTTCTGTAGGATTTATACTTTACTGTTTTGGCTATTGTTACGGTATGATTGTGTGTGTAAGTTTTCTGATTTTGACAGGTCGAAAAATTTGTATAAAGTACAAACTATTCAACTGTTGAAAATCAGGTAAACATAGAAACGATTAGCAGTTCAATTTAGCCTTTCCAAATCCGTAGCGGGAAGACTGTGTCAAACAACTTCTCTACATAGCATGGCTACCAGAGATCACCAATCCACTAACCCTACATCCAGAATTAACCCTAGGAAATCAACGAAATTATTACTAGTCACCAAATTGTAAAAAAAAAAAGTATAGCTTCAGCCCCGCAGCTGTTTGTACACTACCACAAAGCTAATTTCGACTTTTTGTCGAAGTCACCAAAATTGTAACAGCACCCGTGGGTGATAATATACTCTGTAATGGACTATCTTGAGGGAGAAACCATAATTGGTTAATGGAATGTCTAGCAATAAGTTTTTAATCCGTAGAAGATCCAAAGTACCTCGCTAGACGCCTTGTGAGTCAATGCCTTAAATCGCTATGCGTGATCAAAGAGACACAGATTATGTAATTATACAGAACTTATATAATGTCATCCGCCAGCTGATCAAAAGTATGTCATCATAGGCAGAAACTGTATCAATGCCAGGAGTAGGAGCGTCGAGGGCTTCCACGGGCCCGGGACAGACATATTTCTCTATATTTTTTACTATTTTACAGAACTTATTAAAAAGAAGACCCTAAATTAGGGCAACAATGAGCTCATAAACAAGGCAAAATAATAGCAGTAGCCGTTTGTAGTTCACAGTATAAGCGTAAAAAAAATAAAGTAACAACAAAAATCTATTAAATCTGCAAAGTAACAACTATAGATTAATTATTACTCAAATCATTATTTCAATCATTCTTAATGTATTAAGCGTCTATATGCAAGGAAAAGCCAAAAACTATGCTTTTTATGTTTAAATGAAGATATAGCCTAAAGGTGTTTTGCGGGTTGTCGGCGGGCCTGGCCAGGAGTTCCATGCACATTACAAAATCTCTTTTTTTTTTTCTAAATGTATCTGTTTTCGTCAAGTTAATTCAGGTTGCAGTTACTCTTGCTACAATGTACTATATATTGTTAAACTGATTTCATTTCTACACCGAATTCTGAATTAGAAAATTAAATCATTCTCTAGATCGTTTATAATAATTCTTTTTTCTATAATACAGAAGTAACATTGAACCTGTTAAATATGATAGGAGGTATTTTTAATTTTCTACTCGGACATTCATTTGTTGTTGTTTTTTCAGTCGAGATCACTGGCGCCCCTTTCAAAGGGTTCATTGTAATAGCTGTTGATCCACACACGAACAAGAGAATCGGCTCTTGGAAAAAGGTGAAAGGAACCGATCTTTTGCCGTGTTCAGCAGTTACACATGTAGATCCATATCCGAAACGTCACGTAACTTTACTGTGGGAACCACCCACAGAGAAAGAAGAAGGAGACGTTATTTTTGTGTAAGTATTTGTCATTTTGCAAATAGTGTTTTTAATCGTTTTTAATTAGACATATGTATATGTACCCACTAAATCTTGAATAGAAGCAATGCCGCTATTAAGATAAATATTTAGAGCAAAATTATTCTACATTTAATGTTCTTTGGTTTAACTGAAAATATGTAAGTTTCCCTTCATAATGTAGCAAAAACTAATAATGATAAGTTTCGCGTTTCAAAGGATTATCCGAAACTGTCATTGTTAAGCGTTTAAATGTTACTTCACTTGCAGTTCTTGAGAATGTTTTACGTGCTGTTAGGCCTACTTACTTCAACCGTTATATCTGTATTAATCAAGAGTTCCCATGTTGTTATTTTTAGTCAGCAAAATTTGAAATAAGCAGAGTATGTTTACAAAAATAGTAGCCTTCTACTGAATATTCTTCGGGCTGACATGACCTGGTGGTTAATGCACTCGACTCACAATGTATGGGTCTCGAGTTTCAATCTTCGTCACCGAATTTGTTCGCTCTTTCAGCCGTGGGGCGTTATAACGTAACAGTCAATCCCACTTTTAGTTGGTAAAAGAGTAGCCCAAGGGTTGGTAGTGGATGGTGTTGATTAGCTGCTTTTCCTCTGATTTATCATTGCTAAATTAGGGACTTCTGACACAGATAGTCCTTGAGTAGCTTTGCGCGAAATTCATAACAAAACAAACAAACTGAATATTCTTGCTGAAGAAGCACGTTTTCTTTCGCCACAGTTGTCGGTTGTGTCCAAAAAGTCCTAAAATGTAGCGAATCTAGGTGGCAAAGATTTATTTCCAAAATGTGTAAGGAATTTGTTTTAGAATGAGATACCTGGTTAAACTTTTATTATTTATTATAGGTTCATAAAAACATGTTCAAACAAACGTCAGTGTTCTTTGCTCGAAATTCTTTTATTCAAAAAGCTTAGTGATATAGGCTAGAAGGCCATAATGTCAGAGCTGACTCTTGACCTCGTACTTTAAGCTGGGGGTGCGTTATAAGAGTCATAATCAATCCCCAAGTGTCGATGATAAGATGCAGCTCAGTGGCTGCCTTCCCTCTGTTCAGTAGTTCAAAATTATGGATGGTAGAAAAGAGCCTTAGTAGCTTTCCGATAAATACAAATACAAGACTTGAAAATTATTGTAGCAATATTGTAATGATATACTATGAACATGGTTTTAAATTAAAGATAAAATATATACAACATGCTAAAAAGTAAGTGATACGTATGAATATAATTTTAGCATATTCGATTAACACGTCATTTTTTAATGTCAAAGTTTATTTTACAGAGGTTAATAATGTAGGTTATGAGTGAATAATATTTATATGTTGCTTATTTAAATCTTGATATCTGGATAGTTCTCAGTAAGGTTAAGTCTGTAACTTAACACGGTTTATATTTATCTGCAGAGGAACCATCGTACAGAGTTACTCGGTGTATTACACAAGTCAAGTGGCAGCCGTTTACGATGATGGCGACGTTAACAGCCTTTTAAAAAAATAAGTGTTTTAACTAATTATAACGTTAGGTTTAAGTAATACCTCCAGGTGAGACATGTGCGAAACCTTTAAGAAAGGTTACATGTTCGGTATGATACAAGTTTTTGTGTTTTTTTTTTCAGAATTGGTAGTTCTAATCAAATCTACGGCCGATATTATATATTTAAATATATTTATTCATTGTCACAACTATATCACCTATTGCGTGTATATCATTTTTACTGAAATAAAACGTTTTACACAAACCTGTGCTTCATTTTTATTTCTTTTTTATCACGTATATAAGTATTGTAGTAAAAGTTTGTTGTTAAAGAGAAAGGATGAAGATTGTTTCGCTAAAATCTTGATCATGCATTTTGTCATTTGTTAGACCAATGTTGCTTTTTTATTTTAATATTTCCTAATTTTAACAGTATTCATTTTTTGCATTGTGTTACATTTGCTACAACGTACTATATACTACTCAACTGATTTTATTTCTTCCGTGAATTCTGAATCAGAAAATTAAAAGGTTCATTCAAAATCATTCTTTTCCTCATTGAATGTGAATAATTGTTTATCTGTTATTCTTCACAGTTTTGTTTGCTAGTTTGTTTTAAAGTGCAAAACCTTGGAGTGAGCTATCTGTATGGTGTCCAACGCACGGATCGACCCCCTAGTATTAACATTATAAGCCCCTATGGGTCCTAGCTAGCCAACGGAGATGTACTTCACAAAAGGAAGTTGAAAAGCCTTAATCAGTTTTTACGAACTTGCTCCGTTTATCAGATCCTCAATTTTACAATAGTAGTCAAAAGCAATATTACAGACATCGTCTGCTTCTCTGTCTTTCTTAAACTCCAGCATTCAGCTCTATACAGCATAACTGGTTTTATCGCTGCCTTACAAGTTATAAGCTTACCTTTCATATTTATTTCCCTCCGTCTGTCACACACCACTTCACTGACTTCACTTCATCCATGTTTTGTGTATTCTTTCTTTAACCTATTTATTCACTCCTCCGTCTGCCTGCAGAGTTGATTCAAGATACTTAAAGCCTTTATTTTCTTAAATCTTCACCATTGAGGAGCTCTTTCCCATCCTCTCGTACTTCCCCTTCATTGAATTTTCTACCATATACTCTGTCTTTGTCCTACTTTCTCTCCACCTCTCCAGGTCCACTTTTACTTTACTTTCCACAAAGTTCAACGTCACTGCAAATAACACATACCATGGTACTTGTTTTTGTATGTTCCTATATATTGTGTTTAGCACTGTTGTGAAAAGGGCTCAATGCTATCCTTGATCGGATCCCATTTTCACTGGAAATTGCTCTGAGTCTCCTACCACACTTCTTAGAAATGTTTCCCCTTGTTTATACATATACTGGATCAGACCGACATGCAGCTAAACCTAGGGAAAAAAACACAAAGAAAAAATAGGGAGAGATTTATAAACATATATTAAGTTGTTGCAGCTGTTAATGTTTTTTAGGTCAACTACAAAAACAAATTCCAAAATACACGTGTTTTTATGGAAGTTAAAAATGTTGTTGTTTTGATTTGATATTCGAAGAAACTTGTTTAAAGCAAACTGTATGTAATTGCTTTCAAGAAAAAGGTTTGTTAATAAGCGAATAAGTCAAAGTCAAATCCATGCCTAGATAGCACATGGGAGCCGATTCTGAACTCCAGTTTCAATAGCAATCCATCGCAAGTTATCCCCTAATTATCCGCTAGTATCCATTATACAGCAGGGTAGACTGAAACAATTGGAATAAATTGCCATGCTCTCGAACACAACAGCGAGCTTCGAACTCTAAATCTTCTAACTAAGAATTCAAAGCACTAGTCATTGGGCCACGCTTCCCCCAGCAAGTGGGATAGTCACTTCTATCTGCAGAGAAATGCCTTATAGAAAGTTGAGAAAAAAATGACAAATATAAATGTTTAAATAAGATGAATCCATCAACGTAGGAGATCTTATTAAAGATTACTAGTACTGGAAATCAGCATTGAGATTTATATCAAGTGGTTACAGAAGCGCGTTTTATGTGTACATGATTACTTCCTTTAAATCAAGGATAGCAAGCAGACCAACCAATTTATATGTGAGACTATTGTGTAGGTCTTAGATTTCAAATACAGGGATGATTATTTTTGAAAATCTGTGATAGGTAAAACATTCTCTTGTTCAGCATAAATATAAGGATCAATTCCTGTTCAATATTTATAATAATGGTAGATATGATTGCTCTTATCCACTTGAAAACGAAGAATATAACAGTGACATATCTGTTCTCTGAAGAAGTCTGATTCATGGAAGTACCCATGCATTGTCCGTGATAATGAGTAATGGAAGCAGATAGAACATGATCGTTGAGAAATATTCCGCTTTCAATATTAGTATGACAAGCTTTAATATTCATTTTCAAAAGAAAAAACAAATTATAAGACCTTCCGCATAATTACTGTCATGCGGATTAACTCATTCTAATATTAGATGCCTGTGGAATTACAAATACTGTTTCGAAAGTGACGTACACAACGAACTCATTCATCTATATATACAGAAAACAAACCAGCTGCGTAACACGCTGCAACGAGTTTGGTGTGGTACAACAACGTAACATGTCGCCATAGAGCGCTGTTTACTATTTCATGTTATATGACGTTATAAAATCGTTGATGTCACACGTACCTGGCTGTATAAAGTACCACCAGAAGATGGCGCTATAATAACCAGAAAAAGATGTCTTATGTTATTATTATGTGTCTTAATCGTAATTACAACTTACAGGTGAGGACATATTTTTTATAATTTTTGCTTTAAGTGACTAGAAATGTATGTATTTTGATTGACATGAACAATCTGCATCATGTCGTTATTACTAAATGTCAATAAAAATTAGTGTGACAAATGAAGTTATACTAATATTTAACAAAACAAAAGATATAGCTATACTAAATATAATGTTTTTTCGTTAATTTGTTGATTTCCAACACTTATTATTATAGATTCAACATATAACGTTACCCCAGCGTGCCAAAGGAAATGAAGCACTGCCCCCCCCCAATTATTATCACCAAAACGTTGATGCTGCTTATCGACGTGCTCCCTCCCAGTAGCAGCCACATTTAAACTATCGTGCAAGCCAGTGATCTAAAGTGTATAAAACTAGAACAGATTAAATCTAAAGATTTACAAACCATTTTTTAGTAAATTTATACGATACTTCTAACACTGGAAATGTTACGTGTATCTCGATGTTCTCAAGCACAGTTTACCATAATGATTCAAGGGTCTCTTTGACGTTAAACAAGGATAGACATCTTAACGATTTCTTACTGTGTGTTATTAAAACAGTTCAATGGTCAATCTTACAGTTCGTCGTCTCAAAGGGTCACGGATGTACCCTGGGAATCATGACCTGTTACGTTTTGTAAAAACTTAAAAGTATTTGAATGTTATATTCGGACAAATTAGAATTTAACTATCTCACAGTTTGCAAAATCACTTTTAAGAATTATACAATCAAATTATCAGTTTCTTCAATAAAGGTACAATTCTGTTTGACTTATTCCTTTCAGGTAATGTTATGAAAAAAACAAAAAAACACTCACTGATATTCTTTATACATTTAAATGTGAGAGAAACTGAATTCAGAAACATCTGTTTTTGAATCTCCAGTATCAAAATCCTTCACACTGAGCAAAAACATGTACATTTACAGAACAAATCTTGTCAGCTCACTATATATGTATATTTTCGATTACTGAATCGAGACTTGGACAGTCTAACTTTTATATAGTATGCTTCATGGATTATCAAATGACTAGCTATACACAGAGGTTGAATGTATCGTTAGAATCAATTTCGTCACATCCGGCCATGCTCTATGTGACGAACGTGCATCTTAAAAGTACTCCTGCAACGTGGTTTCCAATGCAAAAGGTTCTGTCGTAGAGCAATCATGGCTTATACTTCCAAAAATTCCTTTATTTTCACCTTCACGATGCCATTCTGAGCTATGTTTTGGACAGCTGTAAGTCTTAACATATGTGTAAGTATTTTCATGTATTTCATATTTTTTTTTGCACAGTCAGCTGGTGAGCTTTATTAACGCGGTCCACTACTGTTTTCTCAGAAAACTTTAATTCTAAATAAGCATTATATTTGCACGCGTTGTTCAAATGTGTATCAGGCTGCTTGTGTTTGAGAAGTTTATTGTTTTTTTGGAGATTCACCCGTGCACTTTTTCCATGTATTGAACCCTTCAGACACAAATGTTTGCTCACCTTGATATTTAGCATCGGTAATAAAATGACGACAGACAAAACAATAAGCTTTGTCAGTAGATACGGAATATTGAAGCCAAAAATATGCTTTATACCATTCAGGAATAAATTTTCGTCCATTAGTCTTTTAAAAGCGGAAGGGCTCAATAAGACCAGGTTGAATTGGTTCATTGTTGGGTGTTCAGGATATGTCAGCCGAATCCATTTCTAACCATTCCGGGAAGTTTTGATTTAAAAACCCATTTGTTTTAAAAATACACTGGCCCGCCTTTTTACAAACCTGCAGGGGGATGGAAATGAAAATTAAATTCACAATCATGTGACTTACGAGCGTTTTCGCAAAATTTTCTGATATCCATTTTCTCAATAGTAAGACTAGATGTATCTACATATATATATGCAGAACATCAACTTCATGTAACAATTAAAAACAGTCAATGTATTGTTTAAAGAGGTCCACGACCTCTTGACCTAGAAACTTGAAGAAAAACCTCGCAACAAGTAATGAAGTGCAAAGTTAAAGCATCAAATATAGCTCGGTACACAACTGCTTACCACAAAACTGGTCTGAAGACCTTATTTATCCATGTTTCTGAGTAAGGCAGGCCTAGGTCTCTTTTTTTAACTCTTTTGCGTAGGGTAGTATAATATTGTCATCGCTTTGGCAAAGCATAATATTTATAGCCTTCTACCTTAATTAGTTACAGAATTATTAATTAGAAAATCAGACCCATCTTGCCACACCCATTTCTCAATCCTCCCTTTCAGAACTTGCTAAGAGTTTTCTCTGACTTTATATCCTATATTGGGTATAACCAATAATAATAAAAAAGGGTTTCGCCT